AAGTGTTTGGAGTGCGTAGGCAACTATAACTTGGTAAACTAAATTTGTTAGGCTCTTAGGATGCATGCATGATATGACCTTAAATGCCAAAAATAAGTAGGTGACTTGTGTTTGAAATGAACTTTTATGTAATTGTTAACTTTTGGTGCCAAATCCATGAATAATGTGTTGACTTGTGTTATGAAGCATGGTACACCTTTGTTTTGACATGTATGAAGTGGCTGGATAGTGTCCAAGCATGATCCTAATCTATAATTACTTTTATGTAATTGTTTATCAAGCCAAATATGCATGTTCTTGTGATTTATGCATTTTTCTAGAAAAAGGATCAATTCCTTAGGGGGAAGGAATGATCCCTTTAAAAAATGATCGATCCCAAAGTTTTTGTCCAACATAGGATCGATCCCTTTTCAAAGGGAACCATCCTTGGGGAAAAGGATCAATACCTTCTCTGTGAATTTGAGGAAAAGTGGGGGAATTGCTTTCATCGAAGGGCAAAAGTGTTTGTCAGTCTTGTTTAGACCCCATAATGTTTCAATGTGGTCCTAAAATCAATATGCTTAATTACTTCAACTCTTAGCTCGAAATTTGATGAGACACGAGTAAACACTCTTAAACATACTTAATTACATATTGGACTGGTCAATTGTATGCTATTGTTTGGTATGCAAGTTTTGCATATTTATGTTTTAGTCCCTAAACTTGTATAATCAATTAGGTGAGCATTTGATGTCCGATTCTATTGTAAATTTGTGTGTTGCTCAATTATGATTATGTTTAAATTGTGGTAACCTTAGTTGTGTGAATTGATTGTCGATTTGTTATGTGACGTGAAATGAATAAATTACCTATAAGCGTTTAAATGTAACGTTTGAATGTTTAATTGAAAGTTCGATTGCATGTTAATTACATTAAACGTTGCATGTCGATGAATATTCAATAAATTTTAAATGGTTTGCTTCCGTAAAATGTGCGTAATGGATCCTGATCTGTCCAACATGACTGAAACCTAATGTACGCTCAAGTATCCGGCTCGGTCACCTGGACAAGGTATGAGCCCTTACACTAGGGCACAACATTATTTTTTATATATATTTTTAACATTTTCAACTTTTAACTTATTTTTTTATCGTGGGAATGTCTAAGTTCCCATCAACTTAAACTTTGATAACATTTTAGGGGCAAACTATTTTATTTATGAAAATGTTAACATTACATATCACAATTTATTTCTTAATGAACCATGACATTCTTGGGAGCAACCATATTTCTTATATATATTCATAACATTTTCAGCTTTTAACTTATTTTTTTATCGTGGGAATGTCGAAAGCCCTACCAACTTAAACTCTGGTAACATTTTAGGCACAACCTATTTTGTTAATAAAAATATTAACTTTGCAGATCACAACCTATTTATTAATGACCCATGACATTTTTGGGCACAACCGTATTTCTTATATATATCATAACATTTTCAACTTTTAACTTATTTTTTAGTGGGAATATCTAAGGCCTCATTAGCTTAAACTCTGATAACATTTTAGGCGCAACCTAATTCATTAATAAAAACATTAACATTACAGATCGCAATCTATTTATCAGTGAACCATGACATTCTTGGGCGCAATTGTATTTCTTATACATATTCATTACATTTTCAACTTTTAAATTATTTTTTTATCGTGAGAATGTCCAAGGCTCCATCAGCTTAAACTTTGGTAACATTTTAGGCAAAACTTATTTTATTAATAAAAATAGTAACATTACATATCGCGACCTATTTCTTACTAAACCATGACATTCTTAGGTGCAATTGTATTTATTATATATATATATTGATAACATTTTCAGTTCTTAACTTATTTTTTCTCGTAGGAAAGGACTATTAGCTTAAACTCTCGTAATCTTTTAGACGTAACCTAACACATTAATAGTATTCATAACATTTACTGTTTATAACTAATAAACAATTTTTTTTTCAAGTTATTCGAGTCGAGTTATTTGACTCGACTCAAAAAATCAATTCTATTTTTGACTTCGAGTCCAGTTGAAATTTTGAAAATTTTGAGTTACTTGAAAAACCGAAAAATTGACTAAGTATTTTGACAGTTTTACATTTAGTCCATGATTTCATTATTCTTTCATTTCATCCTTTTTTAAGTTTATTTTTTTACCAAATTTGAATTACATGCTCTTACACCATTGTAGAATATATATGTACTTTCAATTTCTCTTTTTGATAACAAATTTTTTATATTTTAATTTAGTCCCTCAATTTTTTATAATTTCCTTATTTCTTCAATTCATCATTTGTTTTAAGTCCGTTTTTTACCAAATTTGAACCATATGCTCCTAAATCATCGTAGAATACATATGTACTTTCAATTCCTCTTTTTGATAACAAATTTTCTATTTTTCAATTTAGTTCATCAACTTTTTATAATTTCCTTATTTCTTCAATTCATCCTTTAATTTTAGTCACTTTTTACCAAATTTGAACCACATGCTCCTAAAACATTTTAGAATACATATGTACTTTCAATTCCTCTTTTTGATAAATTTTTTATACTTTTTAATTTAGTCCCTCATTTTTTAATATTCAATTCATCCTTTATTTTAGGTCTCTTTTTTTTATCAAATTTGAATTACATGCTCCTAAACCATCATAGAATACATATGTACTTTCAATTCCTCTTTTTTATAACAATTTTTTTATTTTTCAATTTAGTCCCTCATTTTTTTTTATAATTTCCTTATTTCTTGAATTCATCATTTATTTTGAGTCCGTTTTAACCTAATTTGAACCACATGCTCATATACTAAAATAGAATACATATGTAACTTCAATTCTTACTTTTTTACTAAAAATGTAATCTCTTTTTTTATTTAGTCCCTTAACTTTGTATTTTACTCAATTTGGTCTTTTGACTACAATTTTTTTGTTGCAAATTATTTCTTCACATCAATTTCTTGATTCCTTTATACTCTTCAATATTTTACCTTCAAAATAATTTCTTTAAAATATAATATTATGAATATATTTCATAATTTTAGATTGTATTTGATATATTAAATAACATTTTAATGTGAAAAGAATATAAAATTCTATATTTTAAATGGTTAGAGAAAATAAAAAAATTAGAAAAAAATCCTTCCTTAATAATATAAATAATTATAATAAAATTAGTATATCGAATAACTCGACTCGTATTTCTTAAACTCGACTCGAAAAAATATCAAGTTAAGTTCGAGTTGTAAAATATAACTTGTCAACTTGAATAACTCGAATTTTTTTGACTCGACTCGATTCCACTCAATCAATTATTCACCCCTACCCACTACTAGTTAACTTAATAGATTAAAATACTAATCTTTTAAATAATATCAATGATTCAAATTTAATATTATAAATAAAATAAATTGAAAAAATTATATTATATTTATAAGATTTAATTTAAAATAATTAATAAATTAAATATAAATAATTACAAAATAATAAATGAATATAGATGATTATAAATAATAAATTTAAATTATAATACTCGTCACAGAGCAAACAGACGCGTTAACTTTCCTTCTATTCTAACATTCATGTTTTTGACCATTAATAAGAGAAAAGGTGGAAATTAATTAAGGAAAGCCCTGATTACGAAACATAGAGAGCGCACGACACATATTGGTGCTAGGATGGCAAAAAAAAAACTCGACTAGAAAAATCGAAAATCGAATTAAATGAGGACGGGGACGGAGAAAAATCGTTTATGCTAAATGGGGATGGGGACGGGGATGAGTTTGGTAATTCCCGCCCCGATTACCCGGCCTGATACCTGGTCCGATATCTGACCCGATAAATATTAAAAATAATTATTTATATATATATATATATAATATTAATAAATTTAATTTAAATTAATATATATATATATATATATATATATAATATTTATATATTTAATTTAAATATATATATATACCCTGCCTGATACCCGTTTAAATAACCGTTTATGCTAAACGGGAATACCCGTTTTCCCACGGTTTTCCCCGATTACCCGATGGGGATCCCCGTTTAAATACCCGTGGTTTTTTAAGCGGGGACGGGTACGGATTTTTTAAATGAGGATGGGGATGAGGGATCAATACCCGGCCCAAACCCGGCCCGTTGCCATCCCTAATTGGTGCAAGATAGCAAGTAACCATCTCTTTCAATCCCATGTGTAAAGGCATAAACTAGGGGTTGTTTGGTTCAGGAAATGTGAAATTCCCATAGGAATAAAATTCACATTCTCATGTTTGGTTAGTTGAGAATCTCATTTTTGGTAATGTTTTATTACCAATAGTAGATTTTTTGGGGTGTATTACTGAGAATGTCATTACCCCATTTCTTTAGGTATTATTAGATTACCGGCGTTTTAGACTAAAATACCCTTAATTTTTTTTCTTCAAAAATATCATTCTTCTGTTATTGAATAATAAAAATTCTACGAACGTTCAATTATAAATTTATCCTTAAATTATATATTTATCCTTAAATTATTTTAGATTTACAAAAAAAGTATATACTTAAAATTTTATATGAAGTTCAGGAGTTACAATAAAATTTTACACTTTCATTAAACCTTTTTATATTTTTAAAGAAAATATATAAATATTTTTCAAACTTGTTAAAAAAATAAATATATAATAAAAAATAAATTGATCAAATATACATCCCAATAATCTTTTATTCTTTTAACCAAATACGGTGATCTTACATTCCTGCTAAATCAACCAAACACAAAATATAACATTATCAATAATTCTATTTCCTGATAATCTTTTATTCATACTAGTAATTTTATATTTTGTGAACCAAACACACCTAAATAATACCACACGTGTAAACATCGCCATTCGTTCATGCCTGAATAACACAATCCCATATTCGCACGTGCGATGAGACAATCACGTCTTCCTTCCAACTGGCTTATATTCCATTCCCCGCAGCTTAAAGCAAAAAAGAAAAAAAGAATTGGGAAAATAAGTTGTACTTAAATTGCAGCACTGAATCTGAAAGAGAGTTTAGAAATAACTTTTTTTACGAAATTTTCGAGAAAATATTTAAGAAGAGACCAATAGAAGAGAAGAGAGGACAGAGGTTTTGCCCTCAATTTACGAGTGAGCTAAAATTCATAAGCGGAGGAGATAGAAAAGAGAGAAAAAGAGAGGTAAGATAATTTTATTTATTATTTTCTTTAACAATTTCATTCTCTGTTTTTACTGATTAGAGAAGAATGATTCGTTTACAAAAATTTCAAGATCTCTTTTTCAGATGAACGAGTGAAAAAGTAAAGGAAAACCTAGAGTGAAAAGATTGTTGATTTATTTTCATGTATATTTTGCGGCTATCAGATTTATTTTAATTTTATTTTGTAGAGAACAGGAGGAAATTTGAAGTATAAATTGGGGATTGAGATTGAAATTGGAAATCGGAGTAGAAAACGTTTCTTTTAGTGAGTAAAGTGGGAGGAGAGACGGAAGGGGAATATATAAGAGAGTGAAAGAGAGGACTTTGTTTGATGTTCAATTTGCATTGTGATGGTTTGCGTCCTCGATGGCAGCAGCGGCGAAAGCAGCAGCTGTTGTAGTGAGGCGGAAGGAGCGGCGTGTTGAAGAACTTTACAATTCGACCGAGTTAGACACTGAGCCAGAGGCATGTAATGTCAAATTAGCTCTTTATTAGGCTTTCATCCGTTTTATCAATCAGAAGCATTTGAGTATTCTTTTCATTTTTTTCTGATTTTAATTAATAGTGTTTTCCTTAGAACTTATGATTCCTTAGACTTACACGGGTAATATGTGGAGATTTGTTGTTGCATATCATGAAATGTTGGATGGCCTATGCTGGGATGGGAATTAGGGTTAGGAACGTTGGAAATTGGATTTGTTTCTTTGGTTGTGTTTAGTTGTGCTGGATAGCATGGCTCTATGTGAGGGTTAAGATGCAAGCTTTTGCTATTATGTTCTTTTAGATGTTATCATGTTACTAAACTTGAACAGTTTTTTGTGCAATGGATTATACTTACTGGGTTTTGTTTAATGATGCTTATTTCATTCAGTTTGATGTGCTTTATAGATCGTGTCTGCTTTGAGAGGGACTTATTTCACACAAGTTCCTGCTGATGACATGGATCAGAGGCATCGGAAGAATATGGTGAGAACAAGGTCTGGAATATGTGTTTTTAAACCAGTGTTGTCAACGCTTGGGCCTAGGATCTGCAACATTGCAGTAGATAATGAAAGTGCCTTAAACACCTTTTAGCTAGGTGCATTTGATCAGGTACACACTTGGTGTGTGCCTAAGTGCGCTTTCTTGTAGGGAAACGGGCATAAAAAGCTTGCTTGATTGAAGCTCTCTAGCATTTCATTTATTATAATGTTTTTATTAATTTTACTTTGATAGTTAAAAAAGGGACATTGTGAACAATCCACTTCTCATTTTTTAAACATTCAACAACAAACTTTGGACCATATAGAAATGTTGCATATTTACCAAAAATGATAGTAAATATTGCATGTTTTGTATGTTAGCAGGCTATAAGGCTTAAGCACATACACATATTGCATCACCTTTCTGTGCCTTGCAATTTCATGTTAAGGTTCTAGTGTTAGTGCCTTGCATCCTTGAATACTTTTCTTAAATAGCATTTTTTCCTTCATTATCAATGTAGTCTAATGTCTTAAATTGAAAGATGGAAGAACATCTGTTTATTGGTACAAAGAAACCACTTCGCATTTTATGTTAAACTTCAGAAACTTTCTCGGTGAAGAGTGTTGAAAACTGGAAGGATGAAAAGATAGATGGGCAAGGGGATGACTAGAATAGAAAATTATTGTGCTTTTCGAGGAATAATTTAAAAGTGGAATTCAAGAAAATATTCTTATTTCGTATATTTTTGTCTCCTGTTTCCTGATTATGCTGGATTAAAATATGTCAAGCTAAGGTCACAAATGTATTCCCTTCATCTTTCCCGTTTTCTCAATTCTCTCTTAGTTCTGAGTTGAAATTTGTTGCGTTGCATGCATGCACCTGTCTTTAGAAATGAATTAATATATACTCAGCATATATGGCTCCCGTTGTGGGGTCAAATGATTTATCTGAAGCTGCCTTTTCCATTGGAATATATGGCCCTTCATTGCTTTATTACTATTTTTAATTTGTATGTATTTGTAGATTTTTTTTACAGCCAAGATAATGCTAATCTTTTGCACAATTAAATTTCAGTGAGGAAAAATGTGTTCTAAAGTGTTAGTGGTTTACTTAAGTAATAACCCTTACTACAGTTGTAACGAGAGTTAATTATTTTGTATAAAAAATTATGCATGGTAAAATTTTCAATTCCTTGATTCAGATGTTGTGATTATGAAATAATGATTCTCTTGAATTTGTAACTTATGTTTTGTGAATATTCGTATGGACTTTTTGTTGCTGTATTATATGGTTAATTAAGAGTTATGTAAATTTGTCACCATGAATGCAGTACTATGAATTATCGTTGTTGACACTTGTAAGGCTGAATTTGATCTAGTAATGAGTCTTACAAATTACTGCTAGTATTAGGCAATGTTTTGAATTATTGATACCAAGTAGCTAAAAAATGAAGTTGATTCTAGCTGAACTTGATAATATTAGATTCGATGGTGCTATATATCTGATAAAAGAGTTGAAGTTTTCATTATTGCTTTGCAAGCAGCATGTTCAGATCTTTTTCATGTGCTTTCTTATCAAGAGGGAGGGTTGTTTAGATCATCAAAATTGAAAAAAAGGTAGAATTTAGGAACTTGGGCTAATTTCAATGAAGTGTATAGTGCATAATATTGAAAACAACGGTTAATACATGTCTATTCTATTTTGAGCCAGAAATGTTAATTCATTTGCAAGGTCTTTAGAACTCGGGCCAATTTGAGATGAAATAATACAACTTCAAAGCCTGTTATAAAAGTATATTCAAGTTGTTAAGAAATTACTTTCTGCTGAAATCAGTCTTTATAAGGCCATGATTTTCCTTAATGCAACTCATAGTATTATTCAGCTGTCAAGATCTGACTGCTGACGATTCAGGCTGATTTTGATTGAATTCTGAGCCATTTGGGGTCTGATGCTGTTGCTTGGTTGCTGAAATCAATCAGAGATTAGTCTGGTGACTTGCATGACTAAATTATTGCCAATTTTAAGTGAATGTATGAGGTTATCACATGCCATGAAAGCTGAACTTGAATTATTGTGAGTGAAACAGGATGAGTATAAGTTTGCAGTAGGAGGAGGTAATGACAGAGGACATTGGGTGTTCTATAGGATTATTCAGTAACAGAGAATAACAAATGACAACTCTATTTTTATTGTAGCAATCATGCACTGCAGGGTTAAAACTGTCAGCTTTGACTATTTTGTATGAGGATAAAAGTTTAGTTTTGCTGTTGCTTAAACATCTTGATTTTCATGTGGAGTCAACAGTAGTCTGGGCTCCGAAGCTTGCGAATATAAGTTGAATTTTGAAGAAGAGCTATAATTTCTCTGGATTTGTTGAATTGAAGCCATTGTACGATATATCAAGGAAATGCAGTAAGAGGCTGACCTTATTTTTACTGGAAATGGAAGGAATCTTTATTTTGAAGTTGAAATACCATGCACTATGTATGATGCCGGGTTGGAGATGTTATGATTGCAGTTGCAAGTTGACTTGGAGAATGTGCTTCACATAGGATTTTATTTGTTGATGTTATTAGGACATGATATGAAGGGAAAATCTTATTAGAATAATGAAAGTTATGTTGCACCAAGTAAAGCTAGGTTGCATATAAATTGATTGCTTAAATTTGATAAAAACTTATCCAAAACCAAACAGGAACGGGTAAAGTACTAAAGTGAAAGATGAGGCTGAAGTAATTTCCCTATGCACTATATAATGGCTTCTGTTGTCCTATTTGATGGACCTATCAAATATCTTAAGCTTATTTGCCTCTTAGTCTGTTCAGCTATTCATACTCTTACATTCTTGTCCGAAGAGGTATCAAATCATAAATGAAGCTTGAGTAACATTTAGATTGATATTTGTTGCATTAATGTAAGTACTGATGGTATCTAATTTACAGACCTTCAAAATCCTTATATTCATATGTCCAGTTATATAAGATGGAGTATAGAAATTATTATATAATTTTTGTGGCAATCCTTTTTTTTGTGTTTAAAATATTGCTTGTTCTATTTGTAAGCATCTCAAGTTGCCAGTTGTTTACCCAGAATTCATCTTTATCTTAAAAAAACCTGCTATTTTATTCGGTTCTTGGAACCATTAAGGATCGGATTGGTGCTTTATTTGATTCCTCATTTCACCTTTCTGGATTATCTCTAGGCTACTAAGCTCTTCTTTATTTTTTTTGTCTTGCTAATTCATGCCTTTCTTTTGCCTAAGTAGAAAGCAGAGCCTCTGAATATTATCTTATCTGATGATTGAATCAATTTTGCTAACAGATTTGTATTAATTATATTTTCTTTGGATGAAAAGTCGTTAACAAATCTGTTTAAAGGCATAGATCTAGTGTTCTGTTTCCCCCCTCTTTTCCCTGCTTAACGTTGCTCATTTTTCTTAGGTACCACCTAAAACTCTAAAAAGATTAATTAGGTGTTCCTCGAGTCAAAAAGTTAATACAAAAGGAGAATCTGGAAACTGCAACGTGTGCTCTGCTCCTTGTTCATCTTGTATGCACCTTAATGTATCTCAAATGGGATTGAAGAAGAATGAGTTCTCTGATGAAAATGATAGTGCTGCTGTGTCAAATCAATATTTTATCAATGAGGATAAAAAAAGTGACAGCTTACAGTGTACTCACAGTGAAGCAAGCAATTTACTGAGTGTCAATTCAAGTCATGATTCTTACTCTGAAAAAGTAGAGAGTAAAGCAACTGCAAGGCCATCTGATACGTCAGAAGATGTCGGGATTCTGAGAACCTTCTCAAACAAGTATGATGGCTCCAGAGGTACCGAAGGCCATGATGATAGTTCTTCATGTGCTGGTAGAGCCAGCGATGCAAAAGCAGTTTTCAGTTATTGTAACAAGGATTTAGACAGTAAGATTTCATCTCGAAGTTCAGTGTCACTTTGTAGTTTAGGATCTGGAAAAGTGCTCTCTTCCCAGAAGATAGAACTGTCTGAACTTCCTTCAGTAAATGAGGTAGATGTTGGTGGTGGTTCACTGAGGATCCAAAGTGACGAGAGTGCTGTTGGAGTCGGTTCTGAGACTTCTACCAAAATCCATGTGAAATCAGAAGCAGATATTGATGGGGAACCGCTGGATAAAGCTGGTAAAAGCTTGAATGAAGATGAGCACGGTGGGTCGAATGAGTTGGTTGAATTGCCTGGCAAGCTGGAGTCGCTGCAAGCTGCTTCTGGAGATGAGAGTTGTGAATCCATTGCTCTTGAACATGATGTAAGCAATTTTATTTTGTTCTTTCTGAATTGTCTAATGAAGATGTGCATGCATGACTGATTATCACTATATCTTTTAGGACTTAAATTGTGGATGTTGTCTGTTTTGCTTAATGTAATTAATTTAGGAGGAAAGATATTAAAGATACTACATTTTATTTGCTTTTTCCTTTGCAGTACAACTGGAGGTGCCATCACTAGGAGAATGAAGATAGTGATAATTTTATTCTTGAACCTTTTTTATGGTTATGGATCCTGCTCAGATCCTATAATCCTTTAGGTGGTGTTACATTGAAAATGAATTTACAGGTCATTGTCAAAATGGTTTAAGAATAATAAACTGGATTTGGTCAAATTATATTATTAAAGAGAAGCATTCCCTTTTCTTTTCCTTGTAGGACTGCTAGATCTATTTTTTATTTATTCTTTTTAAAAATTATTAATACTTATTTCTATATCAATAGTTTGCTGATTTATCTTTTCTTTGTTTGGCCAATTTGTCTCGAATAGGTTAAGGTGTGCGATATTTGTGGGGATGCTGGCCGAGAAGATTTGCTTGCAATATGCAGCAAGTGCGCTGATGGTGCGGAGCACACGTAAGCATATACATCCCTTTATCCTTATGTTTGTCAGCTGATTTTATGGCATTTCTATTTAATTCTCATCTGCATGCTATATTCATTGGTAAATTTTAACATTGTTAATGCTATTGATTAGATACTGTATGCAAGAAATGCTTCAGAAAGTTCCTGAAGGTGATTGGCTTTGTGAAGAATGCAAGCTGGCTGAGGAAACTAAAAGCCAAAAGCAAGGTTAGTTATCAAACAGATGAGAAAAAATGGCAAAATGATCAGAGCATGTACTGACCTTTTACAATTGAATTTTCAAGGTCTAGGTTATGAGGGAAAAGAGGCAAACAAACTTGGCTTATCTACACAAATCTTAGGTAAGAGAGATGCAGAACATCTAGAGGGTGCTTCAGCTCCAAAAAAGAGTGCTGTTGAACCAAATATGGGATCAACAAAATCATTGAGCCCCAGTAAAGTACCTGCTTTGTCTCGAGAGGGTTCTTTCAAGAACTTGGACAAGGGGAAAGTGAAGTCATCTCCGAAACTTTCACTTGGCAATCATTCTGGTAATGACATGCTGGAAACTGTGTGCTCTCCTATTTCTGGTCCAAGGCTGCAATCACCAAGGCGTAAGTTGTTTGATTTATTGGCTAAAATATTTGCCATGCATTTTTTGACATCAACATTGGCATACTGTTGTATTTGATGCAGGTACCTTACTGAAATCCAATTCATTCAATGCCTTGAATTCCAAATCCAAAGTGAAGCTTGTAGATGAAATTGCACTTCAAAAACAGAAAATTTCTAGACAACATGAATCACTTTATAACAAGGAGGAAGCTTCTAGAGTTATAGGGAAATCCATGTCATTTAAATCCATAAACTCAGGGAGACTAAATACCACGGAATCAAAGTATAAAATGCTATCATCTAAATATCCTCCTGTCCAAGATCTGAAGGGATTAAAGCAAGTTAAAGAACAGATATCATTAGACAGGAAAAATTTATTGAAGCTGGATCGCTCTTGTTCTAGTGTCTTCACGCCTAAAGTTGATCAGAAACTGACCCCTCATGCAGACACAATTTCTCATTCATCTGCAAGCAACAACAGAGATACTAAGTCTGTCCGGTCTGATGGAAAACCAAGTATGTTATCAAGATCAACCAGCAATCTAGACTGCTAACATTTTGTTTTCTTTTAGAGTTCACTTAGACTAGAATATTCTGTTTTTACCTCATCTTTGTTATTTTCTTTTGGCTGATCTTAACCAGTTAAGAGCATTCTTTTACTTTGTAGATTCAGGAGTTCCATCCGCGAATGGATGCATTTCTTCTGAACAGAAGTTAAACCAAGTTAAACTGAAGGAGGAACCCTCATCAAGTTCTTCATGGACAGCTGAGAGGCAACCTAGTAATATTGATGGAATTATATCAGATGGGCTGTCTTCAACCAATCAGAGTGAGAGAATGGGTCATACACCTGAATATTGTTCAGTTTCTCAGGCTTCTGGAGCTGATTTGTCTGCTCCAAGAAATTTAAGAAAGGAGATTAATAAAGGCAATAAGTTGAAAGCTGCAATTGAAGCAGCTATTCGCTTGAGGCCAGGAATATGTGAAAGAACTTCTCAAGATCCATCATCAGTTTCTGTGAAGACGAAGAATATGATTTCTGTTGAAGGTACACATGAAAGCCAAACCAATCTTCATAATCAGGCTTCCATTGGTAATATGAAGTTGATTAATTCACATCCTACTGATGCTGTAATTTCTCCTGCTGGCGATGCGCCTCCTTTAGTTGCTTTAGTTGCAGAGTCTGCTGTCTCAAAGATGTTAGCCATCCCAGAACATGAATACATCTGGCAGTAGGATTCTTCTCCTTCAATTGAACTTTTTTCTGTTCTTTTATTTTTTTAGAAGATGCTCTCTATTTTGGTGGATTTTCATGTGTTGTTGCAGCGTGCCATGCCCTGAGATGTTTCTTTAATGAGAGTGATTCTGTGTTCATACAGGGGGGCTTTTCAGGTGTATAAAATGGGAAAAACTCCTGAGTTTTGTGGTGGAATTCAAGCCCATCTTTCAACCCTTGCATCACCTAAAGTGCTTGAAGTTGTCAACACTTTTCCCCTCGAAATCCCCTTGAATGAAGTGCCTCGCTTGAGCACCTGGCCTACACGGTTTCATAATGGTGGGCCTAAAGAAGATAATATTGCTCTATACTTCTTTGCCAAGGACCTTGAAAGGTAGATATAAGTACAATTTGTTTTTCCCTGTCCACCTGTCTTCCTCTCTCATTTTTTTATTGGTTTGATCATTGATGGAATTTCTCATTTCTTCTGGTTATGTTGCAGTTATGAGAAGTACTACAAGGTCCTTTTGGATAACATGGTCAAGAACGACCTTGCCCTCAAAGGAGATTTTGAGGATGTTGAATTCCTGATATTCCCATCCACCCAACTTCCTCAAAATTGTCAGCGTAAGGCTTGTTATAAAATAGAGGTGTTTAAATAAAGTTTGGTACCCTGTAATTTTCCTTTTCGGTAGGCTATATATTATTTGACCCAAGATTCACGAGGTGAGGATGAAAGTATATGCTTGTTTGCACCTCAAATTGTGTTTCTTTACGTACTGCCAAAGCATAGTCCTGGGAACTGATTGTGATTTTTGCTTCTTGCATACTTGCCAAAAACACAGTTGTTTTTTTTTGTTAAGAATAACACTTTGTATATTTCCCCTGTTAAATGCAAAGCTTTAAAACAACTGGATGAGTCACAAGTTCATAATGCCATAGCAAGGTAAAAAGCAGTGTATGTGAAAAAAGCGGCATCTCTTTATTCCTAAGTATGATAATTGGATCAAATGTGTTTTAGTAGGATGTGCAAGTGTAACAAGTTGATTACGTGTTTTTTTGTTAATACTCTCTGCATAAGGCAACACTGAATGTTACCAGGCGTTTTTTTTTCTGTTCAGTCGACTTTGGTGCTGCATGCTTCATTGTATCATGTTTACAGTTCTGTAGGTTTGATACTGTTTCTTTAGCACACTTTTTTGTCATTTTACTTTTTGGTTTTTGTTCGACAACATTGACAGAAATGGCACCACTTACAAAATATATTTAATTGAAGGTCTGGTGAGCTACTTCATTCTGTTTTATTTAGATGGTTTTCTTGGAATTAATAGTCTGTTTAGTGGTCTTAAATGTGAGATTTCCTATTTCTGAATTAGCCTAAGTCAGAATCTATTGCTTCTTAATCCTAAATGAGTTGGGAAGAAATAAAACCTACCATTCCACCTTCAGGATGTGACATTATGCGGAAGTTCTTACATATCAAATTATTTTAACATATTTCAACTCATAACCATTTTAGAACTCTGATTTTTTGTATATCATTGACCTCTTCTTAATCTTAAAGTTGCTGGTAATGTTTTGCCTGCTTCCTGACTCTGAAGTTGCACTTAACAGGACTGCAACAAAATTTGGATGATAAAATTTGTGCTTTATTTTTTGCAGTGTGGAATACCTTATTATTCCTCTGGGGTGTTTTCAAAGGAAGAAGATCAAGTTCCTCCAAGAGTGTATGCATTCCTAATGCAAGTATGGTACGTTTGGATGGAGAGAGCTCTACTGATATCTGTCGGCCCACAGAGAATGATTCAACATATGGTAGTTCATGCAATGTAGCAGTAACTAGTTCTGTTAAAAAGATATATATCTCAACAGAAAGAGTTGGTGATTACAAGGTCTCTTCTATTGAGAACACATATGTGGGAATAAAAGCAAATTTGGAGGAGCAAGACGGCAAAATTGACACCAAGTACTTGTCTAGAAATGCAATAGGCAGCATAAAGGTTCATCCAGACATGAAATCCAATAGTCCTCTGGTAATATGTTCTTCTGTCAATGCATGCTAGTTAAAAAATGTCATGTTCATGTTGCTGAAGTTGATTGCTTCTTGCCATTATTTGCTAATCAACCCCACAATCAGCTTGAGTGTTACTTATATGGTGACATTATGAGGTCAACAAGGAAATATAATATTCCAACACAAGAGAATAAGAATCTAGTTATCATCCTAGCTTGTCAATCAATGTATGGCGCATTTTACGTTGCAAAATGCTTATAGATTTACACATTGATCACTCTGATTCTATCTAGTTTTTAGTTTGTCGAAGAATGTTGTTGGTTTTCTTCTCTAATTTTAGTGCTGTTAAAATTTATTGCAAGGTTAATTTGTGTAAATTCTAATCTTTTAAATATTTGAGAGGCCCAAAGTAAAATTTCACCAGGTGCTGTTACCTGCTATTACTTTGCACAACCTTTAATAAGTCAACTTGAAGTCAAATCCTATGCATTCATGGATAGCTGTTGCGTATCTGTTTTCTATGTTCTTATCTTTCAATGTGAATCTCTCTTGCTACAAATGGGATGCAGGTGTTGCCTCAACTGTTTATTGATTTAAGACAAAGCTTGCCTGGGCATAAGGCAACCTTTTTCTACTGGATGATGGTTTTTGGATGAAATGGTGGTTGTTTATCCTGTTGTTGGTGCATGGGTACAATATCTGGCTGTATATTTGTTCATTTTTCTTGAATCAATGTTTGGACGTTTATTTGGACTTTGCATGTTTTTCCCTTTGCTGTCATCCTACTCACCAGATATAAAAAAAAGAGAGGAAATTAACTGCAATGTTTCCATTTATGGCAGTGGTTATCATGGGTATTCTCTGTGGACCTCGTTAAATTGGTTAAATGCTTTTTTAGAATTGCACAGAGACCTCGTTAAATTGGTTAAATGCTTTTTTAGAATTGCACAGAGACCTCGTTAAATTGGTTAAATGCTTCTTCAGAATTGTTGAGCCACTTTGCTCAAATCAGTGTTTTATTTTCAAATATTTTCTTTCTTTTACGTTATCTGTAACCAATTAGATGCTTATTGTAGGACTTACTGATATATTTTAAGCTTGTGTTGATGTGTTCTTATTATCTAATGTATGTTGTCACTGTGTGAGATTGGTGTTTAAGAATATTAAACCGCAAAATCTAAGGCATTAGTATGGGAAAAAAGATGCTTTGGATAGCAGTTCTTTTGATTCTGAGTGATGTTACCGAGCCAGATAATTTCTGATTCCGACCTTCATCGACATGATAAACAATGTCTGTAGCCCTTCATTCTTCCCACACAAGGACTAGTAATCATTGAAAACTATTGTTTTTGTTTGTGCGTGCATTTGGACATTTTTGAGGTGGGGAGTACGGGGATTGGTTGAAAGACGCTAATATTTTTATGATTTTCCAGTTGATTTGTGTATTCTATTTTAAACTTGTTGCTGTTTTTTATTAGACAAACAGGAAAAGACAAACTCCTTGCCCTGAATGTTGACTTTGGCACTATTTTGTAGGAGGATGGCAAAGTTCCAGATTGTAGATTAGACACAGAACTCAAACCTTGCCTTGAAGTTTCTGAAACCAATATCCTGTTGATCGAAGTTAAGAAAGAGGATGTACATGTACAAGAAGATCATCCATCTTTAAAGGATCACCCTACTCAAAACCCAAAGGCAGTTACTATGGGAAAAATTGATGGAGAGTCTGTTAAAAACAGGGAGTCTAGGGATGCTGGATGTGCTGCTGATGTAAATGCATATTCAAAGAGAGACAACTGTTGGCAGTCGAATCATCAGAAACGCCCATACTTGGATCTTACCGTACCTGTCCCAGAAATGTCTACCGATGCAAGTGAAAGAATGCCGTGGAGTGAAGCAAAGAGTGTTTCTATGGATGGAGGAAGTGATAATAAAAGGTTGAAGACTGGTTTCGGCAGAATATACCAATATAACAGTGCTATAGATGAAGGTAGTTTTAGTGATAGTGCAGCATCTGGTAGACATGGTCTGTGTTATAGGTCTTCTGTTGAAGAGAAAAGATGTGACATTGCTTACAAAGAAAAAGTTATCCCCGAGGACGGCACGGGAAGCAGAGAAAGGTTCTTCTTTCCCGTGGTTTCAGATCGTGCAAGGGAATTTCTGCCGATTAAGGATGAGGACAGAGTCATTGATCCCTCCCCGAATCTCGAGCTTGCTCTGGGCGCTGAGATGAGACCACCAAACAAGGGGATCCTACCTTTCTTTGTTTCCACAGCAGATAAAAGTGACAATCTGGGTAATGTAACAGGAAAGGAAGAGGTGGATGATGTATCTGCCTCCCTATCCCTTTCCCTCTCGTTCCCAGGAGCAGGATGGAATTCAAAGTCTGTTACCAAAACCGAGCAGCTCTTCCCGGAAAGCAATCGAGTGGATACTTCCCTCCTATTGTTTGGGGGATTCCATGACAAATAGTGTCGTGATGGTCCAAGGTTTGTTTATACATTACATGAATATTGTAAAACTGTTTACCAGTTCACTAGCTAATGTAACTTCCTTGGAGGCTTAGTGGGAGAAACCCACATTCCATCTGTTTATAACCCATACATACAGAACTTAGCAATAACTTTGCCCTTTTTTTACCCTCCTAAGGATGCAGACAGTATCAGCTGCTTGTATATAAAGAAAACTAAAGCTGTCTTGAGAACACAAATTTCCGAACCAACGTTTTGGTCTCCGACGAATTTTACTCTTTGCTTATCTGCAACGCACACACATAGGTAAATTGCTATTTCAAATCAGATTCAAAAGGTTCATTTTTGGTAAGTTTTTGATGAATTATGATAATTAATAAAAGTCGTATAACAATTTTTAATGTGGGTAATATTCTCGTAGCTACAATATATATCTCTCCTTACCAGTAGAAATTGGTGGGTTTATTAATTAGTAGTTGGGAAAACTATAAGAATGATCACTTCTATTATTAATTTTAAAAATTTATATTTTAACTATTTATATTATCGTTTTGTTATACTTTGTTTACCGAATTGTTAACCGGTAAACTACTTAAATGATCACTTAACTATGGGGTTTATGTCAATAATTATAGGATTGATGTTGATATCATCACCATTTTTAAAATTTTGTTAATATGTCCACTTAACTATTTAATTGATTTAAATATAGTCATCTATCGTTAACATTTAACAGATGTGTTTACGTGACAATTAACAAAATTGATATAATTACATATTTGACCCTTAATACTTGTATATTCAATCAATTAGGTCTTAATTTTAATTTAGTTTAATAGATTAACTCTTCAATTAGTAGGTGACATGTGTCAACATATGATGATAACACGTATCAACACTTGATTGGAGGTTTTCTTTAGAAATTTTAAATTATTTCGTTGAATTTATTTTCTATCCAAATAATAGTGACACGCATAATTGGATAGGGCAAAAAAAAAAAAAAAATAACTGTAGTAAATATTAAATTTATGGAGGTTTTATTTTAATACTTAACCTGATGCCCCCTCCATACAAGAGTCCTAGGTTCAAGCCTCTATAAATGCATATGTACAAGTATTGAGGATTATATGTTAACACGTCGTGGTTGGCATGCGTCATATTCTGCTAACTACCATGTGGCATATTAAAAATGATTAATTTTTCATTTAATATTTATAAATTAAATAAATTTGTTTCATTTAATTTTGCTTATTCTTTCTAAAATTCACCTAGCCCATCTTTATTTGTTGCATTTGGTATTTCCTTTAAACCATGTTTCTTTCATCCACCAGGGACATTGGAAAGTTGAAGCTTTCTCTTTTATATTATCTGATAAGAGGGTGAGATCAGTCAGACTAGTAATTTTTGACCGAAGTTGTAACACCCCAAATCCGAATCAAGGATTGGGAGCATTACCGAGATCAATAAGCAAGTACAAGACCATTAAACGTTGAATTAGACGCACACAACGGACATTACAATTGAAGAGTCATTTTTTATGTAACAACCCGAAAAAAAATATTTAAATCGGTGTAATTTGGTAAAATTTAGTGACTAAATTAAAAATTTTCAAAACTTATAGGTTATTTTAAAAGTTGAAGGAAATTTAGGGACCAAGCCCTGAATTCTTCCAAGAAATATCGACAGGTTTATATTATAAGCGTGTTTTCTGATTGAAATCAGAAAACACATGCTTTATTTACAAAAACTTTCTTCCTCCCGTACCTCTACTTTCAAGCTCAATTCCGACGCCGTCCGACTTCCAATCGTAAAATTGAAACCACCATCGTATTCATCGTCGACCCGTGAACAAAACCTAGTAAACCAATTTTAGCGAAACGCTGCCAAACGCCGTGAATTTCGAGTCAAAGTATCGACGTTTTTTTTAGTACCATCGCCGGGAAAATCTTAAATTCATCTCCGATCGTTGATCGGTTTTCGACACCTCCCGCACCATCGTGTTCCTGGTGTCGTTCCGAGTCTGACGGTGTCGTCCTTGTCTCCGTAGGCGGCGGCGCGTGTGGGAGGTAGAGCGGTCAAAGATTCGGCCGAGTTGAAATCGAGCTCTCCACCGTTAAAAAATTTGAACCGATGTTGGTAAGTGACTCAAAATCGCTTAAAATAATTTTTAAAATTTTTGCTGGAATTTTTGGAGACCGGAAGAGGTCTCACGCGCCGCCCCTACGCATGGGGAAAGATGCGAATGGCTGGATGATGTTCTGACCGGTTTGATCAGTCGAAACCGGTCTGAATCGGGTTGACCGGTCTGACCCGATCAGTTGACCGACTCGACCGTTGACCCGACCCGACCCAGTGACATTCTGAGAATTATTTTGAAAAATGTGATATTCTGGGAATTATTTTGAAAAAGGTGACATTCTGGGAATTATTTTAAAAAAGATGACATTTTGGGAATTATTTTGAAAAAAGGTGACATTTTGGGAATTTTTGAGTGTGGACTATTGAACCCCTTTGACCGGCTTTAAACGGCCATTAAACGACCTTTGATTTTGTTCGAGTATACCTATTCTGACATTTTTCGACGTGCCGAATCCGTTTTCGAAGTCCGTTTTTTCAAATTTAAACTCAAAGGCCTCCAAATCATCAGTCAAACCCGTTGACTTTGACCAAGAATTTGAATTTTCGAAAAGTCATACTTTATGTTGTTCGACGCCCTGATTCCGATTCCGCACTCCGTTTGATCAAATTCAGACTCGAAAGCCTTCAAATTGATAGTCAAATCCAAAAAATGCTTATGTACTAAAGAGTTTAAGCTTTAAATGGTTGAGTAAGACTTGGGACTGATAAATTATTAATGTTTGAAGGTACAAGAGACTCTCCTGACCGTTCGACAGCTCGACCCAGCTCCTCTAGATCAGTTAAGCCGCGTGTGCCAGTATTCACCCGTAAATTTTATGATTTCAGAAATTAATTTTGTTACTCATTAGTAATATAGTATTATTATGGATTAGGTTCGAAAACAGTAGCAGAGCGTGGCGAGGTCAGCAATCACTAGATCTACTATTTGAACCTATTATCGAGGTGTGTTCCCTGTGCATTACTTGATTGTTTTATATGTTTTAAAATATGGTACATTGAAAGCTATGGTTTAATGTTTTATTAATCCACCTATTTACTGGTGATGGTTTATGGAATATGACTGATATATGATTGGTTTTCATTGGTATATGATAACATTGATTATGAAATTATGCTTACTGCATAAATAGTATTTTTAAAATAATGATTTTGGGTTGGATTGCATTACGGAGGTACAGCTTTGATCCCGCTAGTAAACCTTATGGACCTAATGTGACTCTTGGGTAGGCCCATGGGCCTCAAGATGCTTCATTAGGTTGGTCCCCTTTGTTGTGTGCTTAGGGTAAGCCCTACGGACTTAAGGATACAGGCCTCAAAGCCTATCTTTAGGTTGGCTTCCTTTCTGCTGTGTGCTTAAGGTAAGTCCTATGGACGCAGTTATGGGGAATTGCGGATGGTGTACAGGAGAAGGGTTTTAAATTACGAGTTTCAAAAGTTAAACTTCATTATGGTTTGATGATGAATTTCTGAACTATTACTCAATTACTGTACTTACTATGATTTTATTGTACTATTGGGACATACTGAGCCTAGCTCACTTTTCGAAAATATTTTCCCCTTTCAGATACTGTTGGTTAGATACTCGGATCAAGCACTTGGAGGATCAACATATCTCTTGAAGTATATCGTATTGTAATGTTTTATCTTTTAAGTTGACTCTATTATGGTAACATGAGCCTTATTTTAAAAGTATTGGATTTTATAATGAGTACTCCTTTTGCTAATTTATATCCATTTATTATAATTTGAATTTTTAAATACATGTTTTAATTAAATTGTTATTTTTCTCATAATTATGAGTTGGTTTTTTTATAGTATAATTTATTATAATTTCATAAATGTCATTTATAAATATGATTTTTCGTTGATAGAATAACTGTTTCGGAAAAATGTCTTTAAGAATCATGAACGTGATCCACTAGACTTAGTCGAAATGCATAGGTCGGGTCTAGGGGGTTACATTTAATTGGTATCAGAGCTTTTGGTTTTTAAACCTCGGACTGTGTATGAGTCCAAATTGAAAATACGGTTTTGAAATATTTTACAAAATAAGTTGCTAAGGCCATGTCTTAAATTTTTTACAGTTTTAATTGTGTTAGATACTCCAAGTGCTTATCTAACCCTAAGTTTTATCTTCTGTAGTAAACTAGAGATCTACCAAAATGAGTGTTAGATGTGGACGTCGAACTAGCCGTGGACGAGGTCGAATGGCTAGATTTGCAGACCCAATCGATGAGATTCGAGTAGATCCCCCACCTCCGACAGGTGATCATGCTCTTGCGACCCCAACGAATTTGCCTTTTGCCGCTGGTATTGGCATGACTACACCGATCATAGGAGCGACTGATATTGAGCCTGATTCTACCAGAGTTGTACCTGATGAGAATTTTGGTAGACAATTTCTACAGTTGATTCAGGGAGCGGTCAGAGCTGCTGGTGTTGGATCCGAGGTGCCTATTTCTCAGACTCTGATTGCCAATAGAGTCAGAACTTTTGGAGGACAGATTGGTGGACCTCCTACTGAAGCGGAAGATTGGCTCCAAGATACAGAAAGACGTATGGATCAGTTAGGATTGGATCTAACTAAGAGATATCTGGGTGCAGTGGCGATGTTAGATGGCAATGCCCACACCTGGTGGGAGTCAGTAGTCAGTAGTGTTTCGGCTGATCGTCTGACTTGGGATTTCTTTAAGGAACGCTTTAGGAGCCGTTTTCTGGGAGAGCGTTACTTAGCTCAGAGATGACAGCAGTTCCAGGACCTGGTTCAAGGAGATATGACCGTTTCTGTGTATAAGATCGAGTTCTTGAAGTTGCTAAAGTATGGATTCAGTATGTTACCTACTGAGAGAGATCGATGTCGTAAATTTTCTCTAGGACCCAGATATGAGCTATGTAGGCAGGTTGTTACTTATCAAGATGAGATTTTTGATGTGTTGGTGGGCAGAGCGAAGGATGCTAAGGAGGTAGAGACCTTAGCTCCAACAAGATATCGTGTTGATCGAGAGCAGCCTGGGAAATTTTTTGGTCCGAACGAGTTCTCTGCACGTCCTGGAAAGAAGAATCGTACTTC